TCAAAAAAAAAAAAAAAAAAAAAAAAAAAAGGATCATTCTACCGTATTGCACTTAGGTAATTGAAATATTATGAAGTCAAAAAAATTCAAAAGCACATGCAAAGGTTTCAATGTTTTGTTCTTTGAAAAAGAAATCCCACTTCAGCAAATATTTAAAAAATGTACTAGTATTTTCTGGAACTGGAAGCAGTCCATGAAGCACTGCATACTTCATTTAAAATAAAGCATTTAGAATAGAGCAGGCGTGCATGTTATACTTGTACAAACTATAATGCAGTTTCCTTTTCTTTAAATTATCACTGTGCAGTACCATATAAGACAAATTATGCAGTGGGTTAGGTTTATTGTTTTGTCTCTACAGACTTTTAAGCTTCAAATACCATGCAATATTCACCACTAAACTGAAATAAATCAAACTGATGTTGGTATCTTATGAGACAAAAAGTTTTTTAAGATTGTTAGAAAACATATGTATAAAGAGTAAGGATATGTCCAGCTACAGTATGTTAAGTCAATCATGTAGAATAACTATTCAAATTCTACATAAATTGTAAGAAATAATGGTGGCAAATTGCAACGCTGGACACTTAACTTTGCCACCAAAAAATGTGGGCACAGAAATTAAACAGTAATAAAGACAACTGCAAAGCCACACAAACAAAATGTATTGAGATGATTATTTTGTACTGAACACACAGTCAGCCAAACAAAGGTGGTTTACTTTAAGTCTCAACCCACAGCAATTTGTGAAAGGTAATTTATAACTTATTCAAGCCCTTACCCTTAGGACTTCCTCCTATTCCTGAGGATTGAAAGCATATTGCAAGTCATTTTCTTGGCAGACAATTATCACTTTTTACATCAATAATACTTCTCTAGCTCATTTATTTCAGAATGTTTTATATATGTGCATTGGTATTTAAAGGCTGCAGAAAATAAAATACACCTATTTTACCACAAGTTGATACCCATGTGCAGACTTTACATACTGAAAAGCTCATTAACCATACTTTACCAACACATTAAGTTTAAATCAGTACTCACCACTTCCTGCACTTCCATCTCTTCCCTCCTTTCTCCGGCCACTGCCTCTACGTGATCCACTGCTTGCTCTCTATAAATCATCATATAAATCCTGTCATTAGTAAGTAAAACATTTTTTGTCATTAAAAAAAAAAAAAAAAAAAAAAAGATACATGCATACAGGCATAAATAAAAAGCTTGTACATCTGAAAAAAATTGAACTACTGAATAATCAAAACTAGGTTATTTCCGATAAGGAAATGGCTGTCATGGCAACAGAACTGTTAGTCAGTTGTTTGCACCTGCCACAATCTTAATGTTTGACTACACATAACAGAGTTTAGACACACAAGCAATAACTACAGCTTGTACTGGATAATAAATATACATGGCCTACCTGCTCCTTGAGTTCCTTCTGTTTTTCAGCTTTTTTAAGTTTAGTGGCATACTCTTGTGTTTCTTTTAAACCTAGGTCTGTGCAAAGGCGCACAAGGAATTTCAAACCTTAAAAGAAAAAGAGATGCTTTATAGCCAATTGAGAGAATCAACAGACACACACAAGCACATACACAAAGTCATACATACCAAAACTTAAGAGAATTCAAAGATTGAACATTATCTGCCATAACTTATTCTTCAGCCACAAATACTACTATAATTACTAAATTCTACAAATGATTTCAACACATATTCCACTCACTTTCTACGTATTCTCTTTCTAAACACACAAATTTGGCAGTATATGGTAGTACTTACATTCCACATTGTCAGGGAACTTCCTATGTATGGACTTGTATGTCTCCAGTGCCTGTTGATAGTTCCCACTCCTTCTATGACAGCTAGCTACCATCAACTGCCATTTCACTTGCGTAGGCCTGCAATATTATAAAATAAAACATGGTCTTTATATTATCATGTACACAAGTTGTCCAATAAACTTTCTTTACAAGATTCAACTTGCTGCATCAAAACTGCACTAAAACTGATCCCTGTTTAACAAAAGCCAATAACCTATAAAAAAAAAAAAAAACATTTATATGCTGATATATGAAACCAATACTTTTAAATCAACTCCCTTTTTATCTTTCTACTTACTCTACAATTGCAGCCCTTTCAAAATAGGATATGGCTTTTTCGCAGAACTGGGAATCAATATAATATGCTCCCAGCCACTCTATAACTTCAATATTGGACGGGAAATATCTGTAAGACTGGAAAATAGAAGGCACATTTGGATAGAACAGATTCCATACTGTATCACTTATTTAAAATTCCAATAATTAAGAATGGCATCTTGAAGAATCACTCATAACATGTGCAGCTCACATATCTGGCTAAAAGATACACTGTACAATTCTAAATGAAAAACACTGAGATGAAAACTGTTTGTGTTTAGTTTTTACCACTATGCAAGGATGGCTGTACCCATATGTTAAATCATGCCCTTACATCATAGTGATACTGGAATGCTTGAGACTTGTCCCCATCATTATCGTATATCTCCCCTAGCCTGGCCAGCACGGTGGGGTCAGTGGGCACCACCCCAATCAACTGCATAAACCACTCTGTGGCCTGAGTGGTATCACCAAGCTGCTCATGGCTGGGAGAGAAGTCAAGGAGAATGGGCAAAACCAACAGAAGATAATGATGAAACTCCTGTTTATATTTTTACATCTTAAAGTGTTTGACATACATAGTTGGAATACCATACTGGAAAATCCATAATACTGATGTGATGTAAACATTTAATATTTAGTCCCATGTAATCGCCATGTAATATGTTTAAGAATATATAAGAGCACTTGCATCATAAAATCATAATTTCAGCAAGGATACATATCAGCAAGCTGATACATGACTTGAGCATTGTTCCTGAATATGGCATGGAGCTTAAAGAAACAGTCAAGAGAATCCTCCAATCTTCCAATAAGTTTGTATGCCAGACCTGTTATAAAGAAAAAAATTCAATAACACAATAAACACTGATACTAAAACTGTATAATGATGCAAATTGACTAACATCCCTTTCTTCACAACCAACAATTCAATACAGTAAAACTACTTCTTGTCTTCTAAGTTACATTTTTGTGTATCCATTTTATTTATTATGGGCACTGGAAATAAACTGAGAATAAAGAAATTACCCAAGTTATACAGTGCTTCTATACAGGAAGAGTCATTCTGTAGTGCCTCCTTATAATATTCTCTTGCCTTCTCATAGTCTGCTTTGGCAAACAAGCAGTTGCCTTTATTCACAAGTGCTGAAATGATACCAACAAGAACATGTTAGATACTACCTCCAGGTAATACAAAGTGAGCCATACTGATAATAAGTAATTTGCATGCTTTTAAAAATGTTTTTTATAACTTAACCATCTACATAAATGGCAATTGATATGAAAACAAAGAAACATAAGAAAACCTATGTAAAAAAAAATCAACATGGCAATAATGAGCTATACTGAGACCTACCACTAGGGTTATATCTATCTGCCTGCAAGGCCACCTCTGCATATCGGTCAGCCTGGGTCAAGTCACTTTCCTAAAACATGTAGATATATCATGTCTCAAACATAATATCAGTAATACTTGATTATTATTCTGTGATTACTACAGACATCACAAAAATCTTCCTTTCAACATTTCAAAAACAATATAGTGTGACCAGATAACCAAGAGGCCAAAATACTTAACAGAAATGGTATAAAAAACATAACACATATAAAATATATAATTTAATGCACTTACCAGAAAATACAAAAACGAAAGGTTAGTAGCTGCTGTGCTGGCCACTTTAGAATCTTTCTTTTCAAATGACTTCAGCGTCTCCACAGCCTGAATAAAAAAAAATAAATAAATAAATAAATCCAATAAGTCGATAAGATTGGTGAAAATATTTCACTAACTAATATATAAAATAAAATTCTCTGTCATTACTGTGAAAAGAAATTATCATCACTATGCAGATATAAAACTTGGATCCAAATTTTGATCAAACTGATCCACACATTTATATAACATACATGTTTAATGCATAAACATCAACAAACACTATCAACCAAACATTCACTATCATTTTATGTACCTGGTGAAAGTCTTTCTGTCTCAGGTACATCAAAGCCTTGTCTATCTCCAGGTCATGGGACAACTCCACAAAATTGGATGTCTTCACCTGATCCACACACCAGTCGTAGCCAGCAGCAAATGAACTCTCAATAGTGGGCGCCATCATTTTGGCAGCAGTCTTGATGTTTCTCTCTGCAGCAAGTTTTCTGAAAGCAAAATATAAAAGAAACCATAAAATTTTGTTTTTCTCCTCATGAAATTTAAGCCCAAATCTCCATAATATTTAAAGTAGCAAAAAGCACATAAATCAGGAAAGCATTTTGATTCAAAAAGAAATTTCAATGAATTACTGCATAAGTCATCTTAAAAAAACAAAGTTGGATCAGGATACTACTTACTTTTCTTTTTCCCTGCGTCTCAGAGCATCATTCTTAATCACCTCCAGGATAAGATTATAGTTCTTATCATCATTATGTGGCAGATACTTGTCTTCCTCATCAATCTTCAGATCACAAGCCAGCATCTTTTGGAAAGCTTTCTTCATCTTTTCTCTGTCTCCGAGGGCAAAGTAGCAAAGGACCAGGTTGAAGCCAGTCTTCACATCTGGTTGTTCACCCATGATGTGTTCAAAAGTGGTGATAGCATCATTGTACTGCCCCAACTTGACAAATGCAATTCCCACATTCTGCATGATCTTCAGTCTGAAAGATATAATATCATATGAAATTGTGGTAAATTAACCCAAGCACACTTGGAACTTTTTTCTTTATAAACTGCATAGATTGGAAGCACGCTTCCATAACGACATTGGATAACCTCTCTTATCATTTGAAAATATGCTAAAGATTGAAACACTGAAAATGTGGTTGGTACATTTGTTATCTATAATGCAATTATGATACTCCTGTGACAGACACTGTCAACCTGTATTATACCTCATATACTTGTGTGTATTAGGAACCTGGTCAACAGCCATTCTGTAGAACTTGATAGCCTTGGGATAATTCTTCTGCTTGAAGTAGATATTACCCATGTTCACCTTTAAACGGCCTGAATATAAAGTAAGAAGGATGTAAGATGGGTTGATATTGAGGTGAAATTAAAATCCTTCTTGCAAAGTTTGAGAATCACCACCCCAATTCATATCATGTAAAATTTAAAGCAACCGAGAGGCCGTCAACACCTTACATACTGACAACATTTTGAAAATGCTTTGATACATTGTGAAAAAAAAACTGTTACTGTATTACACTCACCAGCGTTTGTGAACATTTTATTCTTGACAATGACTTGGTAGGTGTTCAGAGCTTCAGCATACATTTCATTGGCAGCATACTGATTGGCAAGGTTGAATAATACCTATAAAGGTACATTTAAAATAAAAATGTCGTTTATCTGATATAGAAAAGAAAAACAATGTAATTCATAATTTACACATCATATCAAGTAAAATTCAATAACTTTTTGCATTGTAGTATAAGAAGTGAACTTCTATCAATTGATAGACATTAAAATTGTTTTGCTATATTCCATTTAATGCCATTCAGCAGGATATAACACAACATTATAAAACTAAAAATGAATGTTAAATCAAAAGTACACATCTACACATTTCCACCCATCAAATCCGAATCCCAACCTGTGCAAAACAATTTCATTATAGTTTTATATCTTTGAACGTGCATTTCCCATATGAATACTAATTTTAATTAGTTACCTACCAGTTATTAAAATAACTGAAAGAATTCCCATTCTTATTTATTTATTATCTAAGTTTTGTGCTTCAACAAGAAAAATGAGTTTATTAGTCTAGTAGTTATACATGGATTGTTGAATTAATCATTCCATGGACAGTTTTTATCTAAATATTTTCTAAATTTTTGGCTCTACTAAAGAGCCTTCCTCAGGGCAAACTGGAAAGATGTGAAAATATTGTGATGGAAAACAGAGACAAGAATGAAGAGAAGAACACAATAAAAAAAATCCCTAAAAGTATCCCCAGTGGTCAGTGAGCCAAGTATAAAACCAAATGGAAAAGAAAGAAAAGGACAAGGGCAAACTAAAAAGAACAGCAAAGAAGAAAAAAAAAAAACAATGGTTTAGTAATGCTTCCATATGTCAGTGGTCTAAATGAGAAAGTTTCCAGGATACTTTAAGAAAGGAAGATCAGTACAGTTATGAGACCTAACTCTACAATAAAACAGCTTTTAGGGCACCCAAAGGACAAATCAGAGTAAAAAAAAAAAAAAAAAGGCGTATACACAATTGGTTGTAAAAACTGTAATAAGTGTTACCTGGGAAAGACCAAATGTACACCACCCATAAGAGTTAAATAACACAGAACAGAAGATGAGAAAATGGACAACACACAGGTTTAGACCAGAGACAGAAGGAAAGAATTGGAGACACAAATGTGGAAATCTGCTCTCACAAATCACTCAGTAAAAGAGTCATCATTGATTGGGACAGCACCAGAATAATAGAGAAGGTAAGCGAAGATTACAAGGAGGTCATACATAAAGAACATTAAAGAACTTCCAGCTACCAGCTGGCCCATATCTATGATGACCTCTTGGGACCGGGGGGCCTAATGCCCCTATTTCACACAGACCACGAATCCCATGAATCGCCAGGAATTGACAAATGAATCCTGAAATTTGTCAATTCTTGGCGATTCATTGGACTCGTGGTCTGTGTGAAATACGGGCATCAAAGTTTTTGCCATGAATTCCTGTTGGTCAAAAATTGCAAGAACTGACTACGAATATATACGAATCTGTAAAGAACTTCATGAACTGATTACGATTCAACCACGAATCCTGAAATTTGTCAATTCCTGGCGATTCGTGGGATTCGTGGTCTGTGTGAAATAGGGGCATAAGGGGACACTCATAGGATTATTGGTCAATGATTACAACTCAGCGTAAAAACATCAACGCATGACCAGTTTGTCCTAAGGAAGGCTCTTGAATAGAGCCAAAAATTAGAAGGTAAAAAAATATTTAGAAAAAATCTGTCTGTGTAATGATAAATTCAATAATCCAAGGAAAATTAATATTACACAAAAATACAGTTTAACTTACAGAATAGGTGAGATCCAGGTTGACCTGATCAACACTTGCTGCTTGTTCTCTCAGCCTGACTAGGACTCGTTCCTTGCGACCAGCCTCCTTAGCTTTTTCCAAGGCCTTAAAGTGAACATACATTAACAGTCAATGTTATGTATCAAAGCACAAAAGGAAATATACATGAGACTACAAGCCTTGGACCCAGTGCCATGAAGATTTAAAAAAAAATCCAGAAGACTTCATCATGGTGTAGCAGAATGTGTATTTATTCACTCTTCTGACATTAGCAATGCTCTTAATATCTCATTCAACTAATTTAAGTTCTGGAATAAAACAAACTTACCAACTGGTATTCCGCCCTGCTATTAGCAAAACAACTTTCTTCAATCAACTCATTTACTTTCTTTTCCAGTTGTTTGATTTTCTCTTCAGGTCTGAAAATAGATTAAAGGCAAATATAAAAGGAAATACTATGTTCTTCACAAATGAAACCATTATTCATATCAAATATCATGCATGTTTTATGAATTTAATAAGAGATTTAACGGGTATCCAACTTCAATAACTGATCTAATGTAGGAGGCCTTACGTGTCCTCAGGTTTGGTTTCTAACTGTGCTCCACTTTGAGCTTGAGCCTGATTCATAGGATCAAAACCTGCACCTACATGGATAACAGAAAGAAAATTGAGTAAATAATCTTAACCATTTTGAACTTTTCAATGAACAGAGAGTGAAAGCCCTTTTTTAAAATCCACAACACTCCTAACTCGAAACCAAAATTATATCAAAATATATATAATAGATCATTATATATCTCTTGATAATATCTTACTTCCAAGTAATCAAAATGTGTTTCTTGATGTGTTTACCTTTACTAAAGGATGAATATCCAGCAGCTCTGACAGCAGTCATAGGTCTAGCAGCTCCATCTTGAGCCCCTGTCATGGGACGGGCTCCCATTGAGGATGGCATTGCATTACGTCCCATGGAAGATACCAAACCACCTTGGCCTTTAGCAGTGGCCAGCCTGGCACCTACAGAACCAGTGAGGGGAATCTTGGCAGTTGGCTGAAATGAATGGTATATAGGGATTTTAAAAAGTGGATCATAATTTAATATGCCAGCACAAATGTGCATATGAACTACCATACGATGTTAAATCTGTTGTGTTAATTTTAACTTGCTCCTTCCTTGGCAAGGAATGCAGAGAAATAAGTGGCACATCTAAACCACCCATAATCCCTGATAAATATGTTTTATAGCAAAATAACTACAAACTTGTAATTTTCACTATAAAAACTTATTTATCAGTTCTTCTTGACATTAAATTTAAACACATAGGGTTGTATTTGTTTGTCAAAATAAAGGCAAATAAAAGAAAATCCTTTTTATTATTTTGCACCTCCATGATTAATCAAATAGGAGCACAGTTAAATTTTTAACTTGTTTCTAAAGAATGAAATAAAAATGGCAAAAAACCAAAGCAAATGATTTAACAAATTATTTAAATAAAGGTAACATACAGGTGGTCTTCTTCCATGACTGGTTCTAACAGCATGTTGAAATCCTTCATCATTAGCCAAGTCCTACAAGACAAATTGACAGAAAGTTAAATGCATAATTGTTAATTAGTTGTTTGTATTAACTTACAAATATTACTAATAAATAATATATTTAAAAGTATCAATATCAAACAATATAATAATTAAACGAACAATAATTGTATATACCAAGTAAAAAAGAAATATAAAATTCATATAAAGTCATGTTAAATGTTAATTAAAAAAATTATAATATTTAAAAAAAATCACTTGTTTTTATTTAACATAAAAATGTATCAAAATGTGAGCTATGTAATACAGAATGACATCTGTGCCCACCTCTGTATCCAATGTAGCATTGTAATCATTGTAACCAGAGTAGAGATCATCCTCATCCTCTCCCGCAAGATGAACTTGCTCCATCATGCTAAGGCGATTCATAGCAACTTTTTATGGCAGACTGTGCTGCTACAATTCTAGTAGTATATTCAACCTAGAACTTAACAAACCATCAAAAATGAATAATAACAATAAATGTTGTTAATAACATAACACAAAGTATTTCAATCTTGAAGATGATCTTGTCAGACTTAACTATATATTTGTCAGTCATAAACATGGTTGCCACATTGTTGAGAAAATAAAATTTCCTGACTCTTCACTGACCACAGGGGCGGATTTAGGCCGTCTTCTGGGTCTTCCAGAAGACGGTCAGAGTTTCAAGTTTACATTGATGGGTATCGATTTTTTCTGTCGGAAGACGGTCAAAAATGGAGGAAGGGTCAACAAAGTTACTTTGGAAGACCGTCAGAAAATAATTTTGAATCCGCCCCTGGACCAAATCCTGCTTTTTCACTGAACACCTAATTTTTCGGCCCCCATCTCCCCTACAAGTCCAATCCATTCATAACAGTTTGATTTTTTCTCATCAAAACAATTTTTTTATTATTTACAAGTAAACAAGCACAGAAATATCGAAACTTATGATAATTTACATCTTATTGATGGTTTTAATTTAGTTTAGAAATTATGACAGTCTTTCTAGAATTTTGTTTTTCCCTGTCTTTGCCACGACTTTTCCAAATTTCAAATTTTCCCTGACCAAAATAATTTTCCCTGATAATTCATTGACCTTGAAAATAAATCATTTCTCCCTGGCTTTTTAAGTGAGGTGGCAACCCTGATAAACGTGTTCAGCTGCAACATTGTCACATCTTTATTTATTTAAGAGGTGGTGTTTGATGTTTCACTTACTTTTAAGATTATTTACCTCAGATATTTGTTTAGGATCAAGCAATACCGACAATAAACTAGCATCACTAACTCGACACATTCGATTTCGAACTATTCACTTAGATCTATGCCAGGTTAGTCCATGCACTGTCAGTGCGAATTTTAGAAGATGCCACAAACATCAGTTAATTTTATCGATTAAATTATTGGCGCCACTTAATTCTAAATATGAAGTTAATATTTGTGTCACTCTCTTAAACCATTCTCGTTGTTTTATATGTTCTGTTGACGTTAATTTGTCTTTAAAACGCAAACATTACCTTACTTCTCATTTATTGATAGTGCTCCACCGGAGAAGTTTTGGAATTTCGTTCCCACAATGCCTTACAAAAATAACTTCCTGTCTCTAGGCACGTATTTATTCCACATAGTTGTCAACATAATAAACAAAAGCTAGATCATTCGAAAAAAATTAGTAATAAACATGCAAGTACTAGTTAAAAAGATACACATATAAAAAGAAGAATGTATTATCTTCTGTTTACTATATTAAATATTCTCATTACATATAAGTATTAAAAGAGCAGTCAAGGGTGGGCATTGACAAGACTGCACCTCCACTTATTGCTACAGATGAGATTGTCACTTAAATTCTCTACCACATTTGAAAAGTTTGCGCGAACGAATTCAGTTTATTGTACTTAGAATCTAGAACTAGGTCTGTTAGATAGCTTCTTTAGCTTAATTTCGGTACTTTTGCAGTATCTCCCCATCCTGTAGCTCGAATTTTTAATGGTAATCAAAATTAAATTGTGTTGACACTAATCAACGTCTCTGCTGAGAATTATATAATCTTTAACATCTTTTTTAAATAATTTTATTTGCTAATGAGATTACAGTAATTTTTCACCCCAGCAATAACGTCGGGTCTTATAGGGCATAAGGCATGAAGTTTCATGAAAAAACACCTTAAAACTATGTATTAAACTAATTTATTTGAGTAGCGGAGACATTGCTTAGTCACCACAAAAATTAACGAAAAAAGTTAAAGAATATCACGTGACGGTGGGCGGGGGGGCAAAAGTGCCAATTTTTCACACGATATTATCAGTGAAAAGAAATCAAATTTGTTTGAAAATCATCTCTATTGGGCCTCCTTACTACGTGTACGTATTGTGTATATTACAAGTGTGTGCATGAATATAGAATGGCTTCAAAATATCTTTATATCTCTCTAGCTCTCAATATTCTTTTTCAGTTATCAAAGTTTCAAGCTGCCTTTACAAAAAAAAAAAAATAATAATAAAATAAAATAATAATAATAAATAAATAAAATAAATAATAATAAAAAATAAATAAAAATAATAATAACACTAAAAGAGAACGGCTAGAAAGGCAATGACAGACGCAGGTGATATGACCACACTGGTAAAACCGTACATAACTTCTGGGACAACTAATATCATATGAATACTTCACTTTATTAGGAACCATCTTTCGTTAACAAAAAAATACTTTAATGTGAACAGTTAAAGCTGTAAGTTAGTACAGTCATGTTGAAACTGTCACACTGCAACATAGGTGCTAGGTATAAATGAGATAGTACTTGCAGGGGGAAAAGGCCATCAATATATGGGCTATTAAACAAAAATGAATATCATGCAATAATGCCTGACATGCAAGTTAATCATGTCGGTGTTATGGGAACAAGCATAGAATACAAATGTAAATTTAGATAAGGCATGTAGGGCTTAATAATATTTTTCATGTCTTATAAAAATACAACAATATTTGACATAATAAAGGACTGTCAAATGGAAACCAATAAATACATATATTTTAAAGTAATAGAAGTTCTTTTTTGTAATTAAATCAATACAAATGCTGCAAAAATGCCACAGAAATAACAGCTAGTAGTCTTTATATTCTACTGGGTAGCGCAATGCAGATTTTCTCCCATTTCCTCGGCATATTTATTGGACATAATTTCTCTCAGTTTGTCTATGTCCTGTCTGAGATCCTTCACTGATGAGATCTTGTGTTTTAATGCAAGCATTGCACCATCAATTCCAGTTTGTTCTTCCTCTGAGTCTGCCACGGATGGAGCTGGAAAAGAAAGACCATATTTGAAACTGAGGAAACTCCACATCTTTACCACCCTGCCCCCATTAAATCACTCTGACCTTGAAAAAACCCACATAAGCACTTGACAAATTGAGGGATAATTTTACTGATGGGATTAGGAGTATTTATACTTCTGAAAATCAAATTTCAATAAAGCCAAAACAAAAGTCCTTGTTCCAATTTCCAAGCAATAAATTAAGGCAGTAAGCATCCATTCTGTAATGCATTGGCATTTAATTATTTCTAAATATCCACTTCCAAAATACAAGCTTAACATATGCTCTCTTAGCAATAATTTAATATAAACTCTACGCTCAATTTGCAAAAGTATTAATTCAGGTATAGCTTACCAAAACAAGTTTACGAAATATATGATAATTCCCCCTGAAGTCTAATGGGTCTTTAGCCAAAACCCAATGCTGTAAAGTATCATGCAAGTAAAAGTGAATTTAAACATCCGTTTTCCCACTCCTATGAAAAGTAAATATATAACCTGCCATCTCCACCACCAGACTGATTAAACAGTCTTTACAGTACTCACCCATACACATATGTATTGGAGGCCAGGTGAAACTAATGCTTTTATCTATAATCAACAATATAATAAGGTGTTTTAACACTCCAAACTGTATCTTTAAAATAGAAATGGTCTCCTAAGTCAACAAGTACATTACTTCTGTTGACTAATGTGAAATTCTAATGGATGTCAACATTTCTTTAGATAACACACAGCCCAACTTGTATTCTACATACTGATTTAAGTACCAACTGCTGTAATAACCTTTGTTATGGCAAAATCTCTCAACTTTTTAACAGGGTTTTGTCTTTTGATATTCCTCCAAGTCACCTCAACACTACAGTGTAGTATTGACAGTTGAAAGGATTGTTACCTCTTACTCCTAGCAACACTGACATATTGGGGTCCTGCCCTTCTGCCTGCTCCATACAGATCTGTACAAGAGACTGCAGGTCAGAGAAACACACTTGCATCTCTTTAAGCAGCCTCTGTTCCAATTTTTTAGTCTCTGCTGATGTCAATTTTTCTGCCTCCTTCACCTTGTCTCGCAGTGTCATAGAGTCTTCCATCAAATCTTGATTCTGTTTATTTATCTGAAGAAGAAGGTAAGTTACTGACAACGTTACTGTTAAACTTCTGGCTAATAATTGTTGGAAATAAAAATCTGACACACTACAGAGCAATATATAAATTTCCACAATGTATTCAATTACAATAGATGAACAATGTATTATTATAGGCATTGTGCTACAACTTCAAATTTTCAAAATTAATATTTATCTGAAAACATGGTCATAACTGATGTCAGAGTCAGTAAGAACAGTTCTGTTTTTATTTCTTCAGGGTTTTAACATATTGGAAAAAGCATCCGTAATATACCTCTTTCATGGTTTGCCTGACTTTCCTTAATTCTTTTTCAGTGGTTCCCAATTCTTCCTTCAGGGCTAGGACAGAGGATTCTTCTTGACTAATTCTCTCCTCTAATTGCTTTATTTCAGACTGATGTTTTATCTCCATCTGCTTCTGTTTCTTGTGCTTGTTTTCTAGCAACTGATGTAATGGTGAGATCAACATTTAAGTGTCTATACATGTGTTACAAGTGATGAAAATAAATGTGATAAAACACCATTTGATTACCAGAAAATTAAAATCCTCAAAAGGTTTGCTAAATATGTCATCCTATTTTCTGAAAAAAAAAAAATGTTCCCCTTTGTAGAAAAATTGTTCACCTTTTTGGCTTTGTCCAAGTTGCTTACAAGCAGCTCCTTTTCTTGTTTGGTTTGCTGCAGGTCTTGCTCTACCTTGATGAGTGTACTGCTGTCCTTTAGCTTTGCCACTCTTTCAACTTGTTGAAGCAGATCCACTTCCAATTTGGCGACTTTGGATGTAAGATTTGCTTCCTAAAATATAAAAACTACAGCCATGAAACAATGACTTACAAAAACAATCCATGATAAAGTTTATTACTCAATTGTCAGAAATAACTAATAACAAGCTGATTACATTGACAAATTGTGGAGAGATATAGTTTCTTGCTTGATATATATATATATCAAGCAAGAAAGTACATCTCTCTCTCTCTCTCTCTCTATATATATATATATATATTAACAAACATGGTCAAAATTGAAAAAAAATTAATGGTTTAAGGTAACTTCATTCATTATACACAAAAATTATAAAAATTTACCTGTTTCTCCATAGCCTCTATCATTTCATCTTTGTATTTGACTGTTCTTTTGAGGTCAACAATGGTACCCTCCAGATCCTTGATTTTTTCCTGGTGCATCAGCAGGTCCTCTCTCATGGAACGCATGTGATCAATGTTAAGGTAAAACAAATTCCATTAAAAATATTCCCATAAAATATTATATTGATTCACATACTGTTAGGTACACTGAAAGGTTATTGGATTTCGGAATGAAATCAATACAAATGTGTATTTTGTGAGTTGATATTGCAAAACCTATTACACTTATATGCACTGAGTAAAGAGATGCGAGTATTTATTCACATGAATAAAAAGGATATTTCCTTCTTTTTAGACAAGTATTCATCAGCAGTAGGGAGATCCTCTAAGTAATGCTCTAGACTCTTGACTTTATTCCTGCTTTCACTAAACTTGTCTTCTATTTCATTATATTTCTCCTTCCAGTGGAGAATTGTGTCTTCCTTTTGAGAAAGCTTTAATAGTAAAGAAAAATAACAGTTAAAGTAAGAAGGTAGAAACAGTGAAGATGCAAATAGGAAAAAGCTTCATACATGCAGACAGAAAAACAAAAAGTAAGATCAGGAATGCCTACAAAACAAGATATGAAAAGTGGCATTATAAATATAAATGAAATAGCAAATATTCAGCAAAATTACATATATACACACACACTGGCAACTAATAACTTGAAAAGATTAAAATTTATGATATAAAATTCAAACAGAAGTAGAAACCTTTTATCCTTTAAAGTTAGTTATAAGAAGTAAGAGAATGAACACTGGATTATTCATACCAATTTAACTTCTCTTACCTTAGCTTTGAGGTTTTCTATTTCACTAGACTTAACACCAGCATCATTTTTTGATGTTGTCTTCAACTCCTGTAGATTATATTCAGTCTCTCTGGAACAATTGTAATATTTCAAACACATAAATATTCTTTTACAAATGCATGAAAATATACTGTCATATTCTTAAATAAAATCAGTAATAATGACATGTTCCAAATATAATTTCAAGCTTAAAGGGATAATAACTCTTCGTATGAAATCTATATTTCACAATAAAAACATTGTAAATAACTCATAGAAATATAATATATTCTGTTTTATGACGAAAACAGCAGTTATAGCTATTATTCTGATATCTGAGCTGGTCTTCAAATCATGTGACCTCCACTGATGGTTATACTCTGCTATAATCTCTTAAGAGATCTAACAAAAAACCAAACTTTTTAGAAAAAAACCAGGGACTAAATTTGAATGTAAAAATGGATTCATTAACCATTGGTAAGTATGGGAAAATTGTTGTTTTCTCCAGGAAAATTCATTTTTTGGCCAAAACGAAGAGTTATTATCCCTTTAACCTGGGCTAGGATTGTGGTTACACTCTTAACCAAATTTGTAGAATATACCTATTATCCTCAAAAGAAAAATAACCAAGTACAATTATGTTGCTACTAATGTAATATCCTTTATCCCTACCCTAGCTTTCTCTGTAACTCTTCAATCTGTTGGTCTTTGCTGGAGGTAATTTCTGCTAAGTGTGCTTTTAATGATGCATTATCATACTGCATCTCCTAGAGTACAACAAGGCACATTTAAAAGCTACTCTTTTCTATAGAAAAAGCCTTTCTAAATATGCATATAATGTTCTTTCCTGGTTTCTTCACATGTACTAAGTCATTGTTATCCATCTAATGGCAAAGGTGTATCTCAATTGATTTCATTATTTTCCAACATTACATGCACTGTCAGCTTATATGAAATATATTCTGACAGGTGCATTAAAAAGTGCCTCACCTGAAGTTTGATACTGAGAATATCTCCATCTCTGTCTGCTTGTGTCTGCAGTGCCCTATGTAGTTTGCCTTCATAATCCTTGCTCTGTTGTTCTACTTGCATTATCTTCATCCTCTGCCTGTAAAATCAATCAACTTGTAACAAGTAAGTCATCATTTCTAATAACATAACCCTGTACAATTAAAAGAATGTGAATGTTATCAATGTTAGAAAAGATGTTCATTTTTTTCTCAATTACATACTGTACTAAATGAATTATCAAGTATACTTTAATCTGAGAATACTTCTTAAAAGATATCATCTGTCTAATAAAAACTAGATACTAGTGCAATATTTCACGTTTTTCTCAAAGCTGGGCAGAGCATGTATGAAGCTGAAAAAAGTTTTAAAATAACCTCTCAATGATCATGTCCTTTTCTTTAATTATACTGTCAGCTACTCTTTTAAGAGCATCCCATTTGTGTGTGGAATCATTGGAAGCCATGGACGGAAACTCTGCACCAAGCAATGGACCTGAATCAGTAGTCTAAAAAAAATAGGGATAGCTCTGGTTAAACACTGAAGTACAAGATTTATGAAATACTGAACCTTTGCACGTTTTTAATTAAAGTTACACGGTACAGAATAAATCTTTATGGATTAACCGTTACCAAAATGAAAATTAAAAAGCAGACAACAATTAAAACTTTTCTGGTTGAAGGACTTAAAATATCTATATATAGCAAGGCATACAAAGATAACTGAGTACCATTTTCAAGAAAATGAGAAACAAAGAAGGCCATCTAGCTGATGTTGGATGTTACTTTGAGTACAGTTATACTAAACCTGGAAACAAGTCTGCTCACAAAATATTTCAAAATTTCAATGACAGATTTACATGCTGACATAAGTAACTATGCACGTGTGTGCATTCTTGCATACTAGTGCATGCACACCAATCTGACACATTTCACTAAGTCTCAGGAAGCACATACAAGCACAGCACTAAAACAACTAACATAAGATATGGACATGCATAAATTACCTTTGTCATGCTGAACCTTTGTCTGAGCAGTTGGTGTTGGTGTTGTTGCTGCCACTGTGTAAGATCATTCACAGTTGCACTGGCAATGCTGGATTGACCACTAGTCATACTGGACAGTGTATAACCATGACTAGACTGTGATGGGTAATGTCCACCCTCTCCTCCAGGATCCTCCACAGGAGTAGAATGAAGAGGATGGCCCCCATCATGGCCAGTGCTAGTGGCAGCCTCTGAGTTGTTGTTTGGGTAGAAATCCCCTGCTGGCACCTGGTGAGCATTGTTCTGTATTTGTGGACTATGAGGCATGTGGGAATGTCTGGGAGAATTTGGCAAGGAAGATGATTTTGTGGCCTGCTGGTGTTGGGATATGGCATGATCTGCCACTGTTGGATAGTAACGTCTCGGCTCTCCAAAATCCTGGCCATCAGTGGCACCACGAGGGATTTGTCCTGTACTGTAGCCATGGTGATTTTGAGCACTATGTAAAACTTCCTGATTAAAGGCAGGACCTTGCGGTTTGTTCATATTTGATGTGGGGTATTGGTGCCCATGGCTGAAAGTTTTTGATGATGATAATGTGGCACCAGTATGATTTACATCTTTTTCCACATAATCTGTCTGTGGCAAACTTGATGTGGACCCTAACTGGCGGGTTATATGCAGTGGTCTTTCATTGTATAAATCACAATGTTGAAGAAACTCTGTACTGGAGCTCCTATGCATATTAATTCCATGAGAAGAGTATATTTGGGGGGCAGATGCATTATGTGGAATGGTTTCACTATAGCTCCCATGCCTAGTAGTAACTGACACCAAGTAAATAAATACAAAAATACATTATTAATAGCCAAGAAGTGAAATGTTGTACTGGAGTAAGTCATTTTGGACAAAAGTTAAAGTTATTTAAAAGCATACCTGCATATTTGTTCAAGTCAATTCAACAAAAAACACTTTAATAAGTCAAAGACCACACAGCCATTGTAAAAGAGGATGGGAGTGCTAAATAACAATGTTTACCTACACAGTTAATACACATTTTAATTCCTACCTTGTTGTCCTGTTCTCTTAACTCTGGTCTTTATAACTGACAATTTAGGTGTAGCAAAATCACTATAATTTGGTCGGTTTGATGGACCTAAAGTAAAAATGCCACAAAATTTCAAATGCTCTAAACACATAAATGTAAGGTGTCCATAAAAGTATAAAATTTATATAATGACAATCTAATCATGAAACAAAAAGTCTGAATAATGTCTACATCTTATCATTATAAATTTTCAATTTCATTTTTCCTATCGAGTGACCTATTTTTGCTATTAATTTATCAAATAATTAGAGACATTACATGAGCTGTAGTAGTTGCAGACAACATCAAAACATAAGCCTGTTTTTAGGCCAAAAATTAGACTGTCCAAAAATGTATAAGAAAACTTACCTGGTGGAGTGACATAGTTACCATTACAACCCCTTGTCTCGTTCTGTTGTTCAATCATCTTCTGGTAATCTACAACACCACACATGACATTATGTAAACTTGTAAATAGTACTTACTTAATAACTTGCCATAGTTTAAGGGATGACAACTCTTCATTTTGGCAATAAAAGCAGTGTTTAGGAAAAGCTTTGGACACCAGCCTGACAGAATGTCTGACATAAAATATCTCTATGCCACAACAGCAGCACTAAAGAGTGCCTACACCAGGTACACTGTGAAATAGTGGCCTCATTTTTCAGTATGTCAAATAATACACATGTAATTTTTCTTTTTATCATTTTTGCAAAACATGTTTGCATTTACAATGTAAAAGCTAGTAAAAGGCAAATTAATTGTCAGAATAATTGTACTCTGTGGAAAAATGTTTAAAAATTATTTGTACTATGCAAATAATTGTACTGCATGGAAAAATTCTCTCAAATTTCAAACCTTTGCTGTGAAGAATAATTGTATAGTGTGGAAAGGTGAGCAATTCCAATTTGAATTTTGAAAATAAAATGTCATTGCTTTGAAATGCATTTTTGCTTTTCAAGATATTCTGCGTTCCTTTTAACCCTGAACAAAAGCAGTGACCTGCAAGTTGTGAAATTCACATTTCACATACATGTATACTTACATGAAATTTAGCCAGCAACTACTTACAGCAACTACATAACATTACAAAAATGAGCTGGCATATCTACAGTATGTATTGATTAACTACAATACTGTGTATTTACACATTGATTATTAGAGCGCTGCTAGATGTTTGGGGAACCTCAAGACTGTTGATGTTGCATTATGTTTAACCTACATTTACTCCAAAGCAATGCAGGGCAGTCCCGTTTAGGAAATGATCTACTTATCTTCAAATTTTAACCAAAACAAAAAAATGAGGAGGGGTAATGATAATACATATTGGGAAAAATTTTAAGCAGTTCTCACTCTTCTACAACTTTTCACACAGCTATTATATTTTAGTTCAAAATGATAAAGTAAGTTCTAGCAGACTATGCATTTGCTTTAAAAAGTAGTAAAAACAATGTACTGGTAGATATAAACCCCAGAATTTCACAATGAGGCTAGAAAATGCTCATTTAGGGCAAGACTTACTACCAGAGCACTTCAGTGGCTAAAAGTGCTGACAACTGGGCCAGGACTTAGTATTTTAAATAAGATATAATATGAATGATTATATGGACATTGTGACTGACATGCAGAATTTACAAACCAGACATTTTTAATTCATGGTGGAGGATCGGCTATCCAAAGTTTTTTCCCAAACACTGAAAAAGTGCCATAAAAATACTTTTCCTGTGGTAAATGACAACTCCAATCTTCGCAAGGTGGATCAACATGTCCTTAATTAAACAAGTAAATAAGACACAATACCTAATCATATACCCAAGTATATTAATAGTGCCTTTTAAACATGATTTGCAGTTTAATTGTTGCCAATACAAATGACAGTTACTAGTACCTGGAACATTGGTTTGAACAGAATGATATATGGATTTCAGCGGACTCAAAAAACCCTTCTTAAGCATTATGAAATGTGAAGGAAATAAGGGAATGCAATGCTGTGTTCATGATCATTCTATCTGCTCTGCATGGTCATTCTATCTGCTCCAATTTTCACTACCTCTCCTCTCCTTTGTCTTCAAATATTCCTATAGTTTCTTAAAAATACTGTACATAGTATAAATATAAACACAAAATAATGCATCAATGTCAATTCTTGCAGTGGTGGATCTTTCATTACAGTTTTAATTGTTTTATAACAATAAACATCTAAGAAAAATTTCTTGTAAGCAACAATTATTTTCCTTTTTTAATGTAACAAACTTTCATGTGTGTCCTTTACAGACAACTACTACAGATGCACTGAAACCAGATACTTATTACGACTACTGGTAGTGTATTGTAGCATTAGATCACACAACTTGGATCACGTAACTGGCGTACTTAGCATAAAACTTACCACGCAATCTAATAATGTGCTTGGTGATTTGAGTACACTGGCAATCATGAGGATTTAATTTGCTCTTAAATAGCTTCTTAAATACATGGGTAATGCTGTAGATCTTCGATCGAGGTAAAAACTTCACAAATCGAAAGGAACTAGTTTTATCCAGATTTGCGCTAAGCGCTCTAGATAGTGAAACACATTTGTTCCTCCTTTATAAGAAGAACGGCAACCTTGTCAAAGTTTTTTTTATATAGTTAAGTAGCGACTTTGAGCAATGCTCTCATTTTATGATGTTGACCAAAGAAAGAAGTCTTGCAATTTACTAATTATATTTTCGATGTTTTCTAAGAAACTTCAAGCGTGAAGTGGGGTAATCGCAGGGGTGAAAATTTGCTGTAATCTCATTGGTCGAAAAGGGTGGGTATTTTTTATTCAACGTCAGAAAGATTGCATGCGCTGAAAGGTGTGGAAAATATGCAAATTGGAGGTAATATTCCATATAAAAAGAATTGCAAATACATACAGTGAGTAAGGAAACATGCTAAAAATGCAGTTAAACAATTAGAGTTGAGTATTATTAGTCTAGAAGCGTGTTTTGTTGAAATGATTTACTTTCGTTTTCTCAGAAGTCTATCAGTGAATATTCATCAGTCATTCTTTGCTAGTGGTGCATTGCAGGGGAGGGGGGCATAACAAGAATGTAATTTAAATTTATATGATCAACCAAATTCTCATGACATCGTTGTGTATGTCTCAATAACAAATCAAAGAAGCTGCATGAGCAAAGAGGATGCTGTTTTAAAAGTAAAAAAATAGAAAGAACAGAAAATATATATCGAAAATACCGTCAAAATGGCGTCAATTTTTGTGGAATTCCGACCCTACCTCTTTTCAGGAACAGTTTGTTCAGGATTTGAATGTATTATTGAAGCAGGAAATACACCCACTGCAAGAAGATATAATCAACAGAATGTGCAAAAGATTATTTAAATTAAACACGCTCGGCTGTCACCTTGATTGGATAGTAAACGATTGTCGTAAAATTGCTAAATGGTATAAAAACTGGGTGCATAAACTTGAAAACCACCTAGGACAACCTTGGACTGCCACATTAATCCAATACAATGCAAAAATAAACTATAACAAGTGGTTAAAGCCTTCAAACCGAATGTCGTAAAGTCCCCATATACGGTACCTCCATAGAGACAATAAAATAGAGTAAGCTTGTGAAACAAGATTCCACAAATTTAAACATAATAATCGAAATAAAATACTGCCGGGCATCGGAGTGGCCTAAAACTTGGCACGATTACCGCAAATGCCGCGACTACATCATCCCGTCACTCGTTTGTAAATTCCGTGCATGGCATACGCACAATCAAACCGTAAATCCAAATTCCCACCTTGACGTTTAAGTCGGTCCTCTCTGCTTCAAATTCCACCGGGCTTACAAAAAAGAAGCCATGTCATTGGACAATACGACCTCTGCGGTTACGTCACTTCAAAAACTGGATGGTAGAGAGGACCGACTTAAACGTCAAGGTGGGAATTTGTATTTACGGTTTGATTGTGCGTATGCCATGCACGGAATTTACAAACGAGCGACGGGATGATGTAGCCTGTGGCATTTGCGGTAAGCGTGCCAAGTTTTAGGCCACTCCGATGCCCGGCAGTATTTTATTTCAATTATTATGTTTACATTTGTGGAATCTTGTTTTACAAGCTTACTCTATTTTATTGTCTCTATGGAGGTATATGGGGACTTTACGACATTCGGCTTGAAAGCTTTAACCACTTGTTACAGTTTATTTTTGCATTGTATTGGATTAATGTGGCAGTCCAAGGTTGTCCTAGAGGGTTTTCAAGTTTATGCACCCGGTTTTAATATCATTTAGCGATTTTATGACAATCGTTTACTATCCAATCAAGGTGACAGCCGAGCGTAAAATTAAAATTCATTTGAAGTCACTGAAAAATGATCACAAAATTACTGTAACGAACATCTAATCTTATCTTTCCATATTAAAACTCTTCAATGCGTCCAAAGTACATGTAGTCTGTTAGTTAGTTTGTGTCACGAAGTCCATGCTAATATCAGTTTTCTTAAGAATTTCACATTTCTTGCTCAACAAGGTCGATTTTTCTTCACCGTGTTCCATGTTACGTTCGTTACGCTGAAACTTCAGAGATCAATTATAGCAGATGATTTTAAAATGCCGCGTGAAAATTTTACAGCGATAGCGATCTTCTTCCTTACTCACTAACTGATGACGTCTCACACACGAATGGCTTCTTTTGCACACTGAAAAGCCAGCTCTAAGTGGTACGTGTCCCATTCTGATAATATGTAATGCAGTGAAGCTGTCGAGGTCAGTTGCAGGGGCACATGTAATTCCCTCGATTTAACCACTACGGGACTGTTTACTGTATATAGGGATCTTCTTTGTATGAAGGTGAGAAATACTGAATTTCGTTTCATTTTTCTTCAGTAGTTTCAACATAAGTCCATGTGTGTACTGATTGATTCTTACCATTCGATTAGTAGGGTGACTTGTCTTAACTTCATATGTGTCACATGGTAACGCGGTGACACCGTATTCATGTTCTCTTGTTCTCAAAAACTCAATCATCGAAATTGAATGTCATTTTTTAGCTTTACCTTAAATTAAGATGCTACACTGTATTCATGGCAATAATGGATTTCTCGCAACACTATCGTTATGTAATGTACAGAGACACCAAAAATGGGTGAAGAAAATGTGTCCCAGTAATTAGTATTTGCAACTTTGTTTGAATAAGCAATAAGCTATTTGTAATCTTAGCTGAGGTAGCGCTAGCAATTTTTTTCACTTTGCCAAATCACCACATTTTTGTCAATTTGTTATCAAAATGGTTATGATTTGGCTAAAACGTGTCAAATCGAGCCCTTTTTCTTTAGCCAATTTAAGTCAGTTTTAGCATTTGGCTAAATTGGCGAGTGTTAGCACTACCCCAGCTTAGGTTACCCATTGTTTGTTATCAGGGTAAACAGATTCCTTGATTGATTTTTTTCAGAATCCCAAGAGTGGATGCCTTGGTAGAGCACAGAGCAGATATCACCAGTGGTCCACAGATGTCAAAAAGAATGTTATAATACTGAATTTTGTGTTACACTGAACTTCATTTTGTTAAATTTTGTATTAACTGAACTCTATTGTGTTAAAATAATAAAAAATAATAATAATTCTGAAAAAAACTACAATCTGGAACATTCTTTAGATCAACTTTATTCAGTGCGTGTCCCATGTAACATAGTTACAGTAAGCAAAATATGTATTATTCCTCTGTTTTTGTCAATTCCAATTTAAAAGCCTGTGAGAGTGATGTTCCCCTCATGATTGAAGTGTGTTTGGATAATAACAAAAATATTATTATTATTTACATGATTATAAAAAGTTTTTGTTCCCGCGTCACTAACGTTACCATTTCCCATATATTCACCTTTTTTTTTTATTAATCATGAAATGTGGATTGAATTCTTCAAAACCAGTTTTAAAGCATTGAGACAACACCCCCTTATGATTTAAACTAAATCTAAAAACATTCCATTTAGACTTTCATTAGTTTGTGCAAAATATATTACCCAGGGTGACGCATCTTGGATTTGGTGGGTATAGCTGTTCAACTCTCCTGTGTGCCCTAAAAACGGCATCTGCTGTTTCCCTTTTTATGAAATGATAAACTGTGATGGTGTAGCTATCACAATGCAAAATTACAGCTTCCCAGAGAACGTTTGAAATTTTTGGCCAAATTCAACATTTTGTAACCACTAGCAAAGAATGACAGTCATAAAAGCTGGCTAGCACATATATAATATATAACATGATGTTGTAGATATGAAAGAACGTGTACAAAATTGTTAGCGCATGATATTTCATGCTTTCCATTGTCAGGCTGCATGGTACAACTATTTTATAACATTGGTATTCACGTTTAAAAAATAATATTACGCTGATATATGCGCACCCCATTAAATCCCGTTCACACTGCCATCTGAGAAATCTGGATTTTTCAAATTCTAATTTCTGGTCAAAATCAAATTTGCTTGCTTGTTCATACACGCGAATCGAAACTGAATCCCATTTTTAAAAAAATCAAGGTTTAACTTCCTGTTTTGAACACTCACACATGTGCAGCACAGGAAAACTAAAAATACAAAACAAAAATATGGCACCATTTACGGCTCTAATTGTACTTAGCTTTTGCCCTCTGTTTTTATTTGTGACAGCAAGTGCAACTCAAAAGACATTCAAGCATTCTTTAAATGTATATGACGGCAAAAGAAGTTTATGTTTCCCCATGTTGTAGTGAGCGATAACCTCCAAATACGTTTGGTGCAATTGTTAAGTAATAAACTACTGTAGTGTTCATAGATACCCTCACTTTTCTGCGCACATGCGTTAAAAGATCTTAACAGATGTCGGCTAACAAAAATTCCTCATGCATTCAGACTACTGCAATTATTAGAATAGGATTCGCTATTTATTCAGATAAATGGCTGTAGTGTGAGCAGGGTATTACTTGACACAATTCAAGAGGTCAAATACTGTTGGTTACATACCTATATGTCCCCACACCAATCCTCCCCCATATCGGTGCGGGGAGGTACCGGTGCTGGGATCTATTGGTGTGGGGTCGTATTGATGTACCGTACATAATACAAAAAATTACTAAGGGGTATTATCTGTGCGGGGGAGTAAGGGTGTGGGGGAGTAAAGGTGCAGGGGAGTATCGACATGACCCCATACTGTCATGGCCATGGTGTTCCACAAAGCACTTGATCTGTTTGGGGGGGTCTCACCAGGTTATACGTCGATGTAGCCAATCTTAGTCTGTAGTCGATCTTGGCGTTATAGAATAAAAGCACATGGTATTTATATACTACATGTATTTGAAAAATTGAGGACTTTTTATGTACAGACACAGATGTGTCTGTTCATATTGCCATCACCTGCGTCTGTCGTCGCCGTCCCTGTCGCTGTCGATGTTGCCGTCGCCGTCGCCATGCACATTCATCGTTAACACGATAAGTGGAAGACAGTTTTACTTTTTGGCTTTATATTTACAGAGCTGATAAATATTCATAAAACGCAGGTGAAGTTCGAAAATCAGCATGTTTGGGCCATTATTGTAGAAGTTATGGTGTTTTTTCACTTTTTAACTTATATGCAACACTGTTAACACATTTCAAGGAAAACCGATAGGCCTGTTGTCATGAAACTCACAGGAGTAATCAATCTCACTAAAATGCAGGTCAAGTTCGAAAATCAANGTTTAAGTTATTTAAAAGCATACCTGCATATTTGTTCAAGTCAATTCAACAAAAAACACTTTAATAAGTCAAAGACCACACAGCCATTGTAAAAGAGGATGGGAGTGCTAAATAACAATGTTTACCTACACAGTTAATACACATTTTAATTCCTACCTTGTTGTCCTGTTCTCTTAACTCTGGTCTTTATAACTGACAATTTAGGTGTAGCAAAATCACTATAATTTGGTCGGTTTGATGGACCTAAAGTAAAAATGCCACAAAATTTCAAATGCTCTAAACACATAAATGTAAGGTGTCCATAAAAGTATAAAATTTATATAATGACAATCTAATCATGAAACAAAAAAAGTCTGAATAATGTCTACATCTTATCATTATAAATTTTCAATTTCATTTTTCCTATCGAGTGACCTATTTTTGCTATTAATTTATCAAATAATTAGAGACATTACATGAGCTGTAGTAGTTGCAGACAACATCAAAACATAAGCCTGTTTTTAGGCCAAAAATTAGACATTGTCCAAAAATGTATAAAAAAACTTACCTGGTGGAGTGACATAGTTATCATTACAACCCCTTGTCTCGTTCTGTTGTTCAATCATCTTCTGGTAATCTACAACACCACACATGACATTATGTAAACTTGTAAACAGTACTTACTTAATAACTTGCCATAGTTTAAGGGATGACAACTCTTCATTTTGGCAATAAAAGCAGTGTTTAGGAAAAGCTTTGGACACCAGCCTGACAGAATGTCTGACATAAAATATCTCTATGCCACAACAGCAGCACTAAAGAGTGCCTACACCAGGTACACTGTGAAATAGTGGCCTCATTTTTCAGTATGTCAAATAATACACATGTAATTTTTCTTTTTATCATTTTTGCAAAACATGTTTGCATTTACAATGTAAAAGCTAGTAAAAGGCAAATTAATTGTCAGAATAATTGTACTCTGTGGAAAAATGTTCAAAAATTATTTGTACTATGTGAATAATTGTACTGCATGGAAAAATTCTCTCAAATTTCAAACCTTTGCTGTGAAGAATAATTGTATAGTGTGGAAAGGTGAGCAATTCCAATTTGAATTTTGAAAATAAAATGTCATTGCTTTGAAATGCATTTTTGCTTTTCAAGATATTCAAGATATCCTTTTAACCCTGAACAAAAGCAGTGACCTGCAAGTTGTGAAATTCACATTTCACATACATGTATACTTACATGAAATTTAGCCAGCAACTACTTACAGCAACTATATAACATTACAAAAATGAGCTGGCATATCTATGTATTGATTAACTACAATACTGTGTATTTACACATTGATTATTAGAGGGCTGCTAGATGTTTGGGGAACCTCAAGACTGTTGATGTTGCATCATGTTTAACCTACATTTACTCCAAAGCAATGCAGGGCAGTCGCGTTTAGGAAATGATCTACTTATCTTCAAATTTTAACCAAAACAAAAAAATGAGGAGGGGTAATGATAATACATATTGGGAAAAATTTTAAGCAGTTCTCACTCTTCTACAACTTTTCACACAGCTATTATATTTTAGTTCAAAATGATAAAGTTAGTTCTAGCAGACTCTATGCATTTGCTTTAAAAAGTAGTAAAAACAATGTACTGGTAGATATAAACCCCAGAATTTCACAAGGAGGCTAGAAAATGCTCATTCAGGGCAAGACTTACTACTGGAGCACTTCAGTGTCTAAAAGTGCTGACAACTGGGCGAGGACTTAGTATTTTAAATACGATATAATATGAATGATTATATGGACATTGTGACTGACATGCAGACTTTACAAATCAGACATTTTTAATTCATGGTGGAGGATCGGCTATCCAAAGTTTTTTCTCCAAACACTGAAAAAGTGCCATAAATATAATTTTCCTGTGGTAAATGACAACTCCAATCTTCGCAAGGTGGATCAACATGTCCTTAATTAAACAAGTAAATAAGACACAATACATAATTATATACCCAAGTATATTAATAGTGCCTTTTAAACATGATTTGCAGTTTAATTGATGCCAATACAAATGACAGTTACCTGGAACATTGGTTTGAACAGAATGATATATGGATTTCAGCGGACTCAAAAAAACCTTCTTAAGCATTATGAAATGTGAAGGAAATAAGGGAATGCAATGCTGTGTTCATGATGATTCTATCTGCTCTGCATGGTCATTCTATCTGCTCCAATTTTCACTACCTCTCCTCTCCTTTGTCTTCAAATATTCCTATAGTTTCTTAAAAATACTGTACATAGTATAAATATAAACACAAAATATTGCATCAATGTCAATTCTTGCAGTGGTGGATCTTACATTACAATTTTAATTGTTTTATAACAATAAACATCTAAGAAAAATTTCTTGTAAGCAACAATTATTTTCCTTTTTTTAATGTAAAAAACTTTCATGTGTGTCCTTTACAGACAACTACTACAGATGCACTGAAACCAGATACTTATTACGACTACTGGTAGTGTATTGTAGCATTAGATCACACAACTTGGATCACGTAACTGGCGTACTTAGCATAAAACTTACCACGCAATCTAATAATGTGCTTGGTGATTTGAGTACACTGGCAATCATGAAGATTTAATATGCTCTTAAATAACTTCTTAAATACATGGGTAATGCTGTAGATCTTCGATCGAGGTAAAAACTTCACGAATCGAAAGGAACTAACATTGTTTTATCCAGATTTGCGCTAAGCGCTCTAGATAGTGAAACACATTTGTTCCTCCTTTATAAGAAGAACGGCAACCTTGTCAACGTTTTTTTTTATATAGTTAAGTAGCGACTTTGAGCAATGCTCTCATTTTATGATGTTGACCAAAGAAAGAAGTCTTGCAATTTACTAATTATATTTTCGATGTTTTCTAAGAAACTTCAAGCGTGAAGTGGGGTAATCGCAGGGGTGAAAATTTGCTGTAATCTCATTGGTCGAAAAGGGTGTTTTTATTCAACGTCAGAAAGATTGCATACGTTGAAAGGTGTGGAAAATATGCAAATTGGAGGTAATATTCCATATAAAAAGAATTGCAAATACATACAGTGAGTAAGGAAACATGCTAAAAATGCAGTTAAACAATTAGAGTTGAGTATTATTAGTCTAGAAGCGTGTTTTGTTGAAATGATTTACTTTCGTTTTCTCAGAAGTCTATCAGTCATTCTTTGCTAGTGGTGCACTGCAGGGGAGGGGGGCATAACAAGAATGTAATTTAAATTTATATGGTCAACCAAATTCTCATGACATCGTTGTGTATGTCTCAATAACAAATCAAAGAAGCTGCATGAGCAAAGAGGATGCTGTTTTAAAAGTAAAAAAATAGAAAGAGCAGAAAATATATATCGAAAATGCCGTCAAAATGGCGTCAATTTTTGTGGAATTCCGACCCTACCTCTTTTCAGGAACAGTTTGTTCAGGATTTGAATGTATTATTGAAGCAGGAAATACACCTACAGTACTGCAAGAAGATATAATCAACAGAATGTGCAAAAGATTATTTAAATTAAACACGCTTGGCTGTCACCTTGATTGGATAGTAAACGATTGTCTGCTTCAAATTCCACCGGGCTTACAAAAAAGAAGCCATGTCATTGGACAATGCGACCTCTGCAGTTACGTCACTTCAAAAACTGGATGGAAGAGAGGACCGACTTAAACGTCAAGGTGGGAATTTGTATTTACAGTTTGATTGTGCGTATGCCATGCACGGAATTTACAAACGAGCGACGGGATGATGTAGCCTGTGGCATTTGCGGTAAGCGTGCCAAGTTTTAGGCCACTCCGATGCCCGGCAGTATTTTATTTCGATTATTATGTTTACATTTGTGGAATCTTGTTTCACAAGCTTACTCTATTTTATTGTCTCTATGGAGGTATATGGGGACTTTACGACATTCGGCTTGAAAGCTTTAACCACTTGTTATAGTTTATTTTTGCATTGTATTGGAATAATGTGGCAGTCCAAGGTTGTCCTAGAGGGTTATCAAGATTATGCACCCGGTTTTAATATCATTTAGCAATTTTATGACAATCGTTTACTATCCAATCAAGGTGACAGCCGAGCGTGAAATTAAAATTCATTTGAAGTCACTGAAAAATGATCACAAAATTACTGTAACAAACGTCTAATCTTATCTTTCCATATTAAAACTCTTCAATGCATCCAAAGTAGTCTGTTAGTTAGTTTGTGTCATGAAGTCCATGCTAATATCAGTTTTCTTAAGAATTTCACATTTCTTGCTCAACAGGGTCAATTTTTCTTCACCGTGTCCCTTGTAACGTTCGTTACGCTGAAACTTCAGAGATTAATTATAGCAGATGATTTTAAAATGCCGCGTGAAAATTTTACATCGATAGCGATCTTCTTCCTTACTCACTAACTGATGACGTCTCACACACGAATGGCTTCTTTTGCACACTGAAAAGCCAGCTCAAAGTGGTACGTGTCCCATTCTGATAATATGTAATGCAGTGAAGCTGTCGAGGTCAGATGCAGGGGCACATGTAATTCCCTCGATTTAACAACTACGGGACTGTTTACTGTATATAGGGATCTTCTTTGTATGAAGGTGAGAAATACTGAATTTCGTTTCATTTTTCTTCAGTAGTTTCAACATAAGTCCATATGTGTACTGATTGATTCTTACCATTCGATTAGTAGGGTGACTTCGTCTTAACTTCGTATGTGTCACGTGGTAATGCGGTGACACCATATTCATGTTCTCTTGTTCTCAAAAACTCAATCATCGAAATTGAATGACATTTTTTAGCTTTACCTTAAATTAAGATGCTACACTGTATTCACGGCAATAATGGATTTCTCGCAACACTATCGTTATGTAACATACAGAGACACAATGAAGCACCAAAAATGGGTGAAGAAAATGTGTCCCAGTAATTAGTATTTGCAACTTTGTTTGAATAAGCAATAAGCTATTTGTAATCTTAGCTGAGGTAGTGCTAGCAATTTTTTTCACTTCGCCAAATCACCACATTTTTGTCAATTTGTTATCAAAATGGTTATGTTTTGGCTAAAACATGTCAAATCGAGCCCTTTTTCTTTAGCCAATTTAAGTGAGTTTTAGCATTTGGCTAAATTGGCGAGTGTTAGCACTACCCCAGCTTAGGTTACCCATTGTTCGTTATCAGAGTAAACAGATTCCTTGTATTATTTTTTTCAGAATCCCAAGAGTGGATGCCTTGGTAGAGCACAGAGCAGATATCACCAGTGGTCCACAGATGTCAAAAAGAATGTTATAATACTGAATTTTGTGTTACACTGAACTTCATTTTGTTAAATTTTGTATTAACTGAACTCTATTGTGTTAAAATAATAAAAAATAATAATAATTCTGAAAAAAACTACAATCTGGAACATTCTTTAGATCAACTTTATTCAGTGCGTGTCCCATGTAACATAGTTACAGTAAGCAAAATATGTATTATTCCTCTGTTTTTGTCAATTCCAATTTAAAAGCCTGTGAGAGTGATGTTCCCCTTATGATTGAAGTGTGTTTGGATAATAACAAAAATATTGTTATTATTTACATGATTATAAAAAGTTTTTGTTCCCGTGTCACTAACGTTACCATTTCCCATATATTCACCTTTTTTTTATTAATTATGAAATGTGGATTGAATTCTTCAAAACCAGTTTTAAAGCATTGAGACAACACCCCCTTATGATTTAAACTAAATCTAAAAACATTCCATTTAGACTTTCATTAGTTTGTGCAAAATATATTACCCAGGGTGACGCATCTTGGATTTGGTGGGTATAGCTGTTCAACTCTCCTGTGTGCCCTAAAAACGGCATCTGCTGTTTCCCTGTTTATGAAATGATAAACTGTGATGGTGTAGCTATCGCAATGCAAAATTACAGCTTCCCAGAGAACGTTTGAAATTTTTGGCCAAATTCAACATTTTGTAACCACTAGCAAAGAATGACAGTCATAAAAGCTGGCTAGCACATATATAATATATAACATGATGTTGTAGATATGAAAGAACGTGTACAAAATTGTTAGCGCATGATATTTCATGCTTTCCATTGTCAGGCTGCATGGTACAACTATTTTATAACATTGGTATTCACGTTTAAAAAATAATATTACGCTGATATATGCGCACCCCGTTAAATCCCGTTCACAGTGCCATCTGAGAATTCTGGATTTTTCAAATTCTAATTTCTGGTCAAAATCAAATTTGCTTGCTTGTTCACACACGCGAATCGAAACTGAATCCCATTTTTAAAAAATCAAGGTTTAGCTTCCTGTTTTGAACACTCACACATGTGCAGCACAGGAAAACTAAAAATACAAAACAAAAATATGGCACCATTTACGGCTCTAATTGTACTTAGCTTTTGCCCTCTGTTTTTATTTGTGACAGCAAGTGCAACTCAAAAGACATTCAAGCATTCTTTGAATGTACAGGTATATGACGGCAAAAGAAGTTTATGTTTCCCCATGTTGTACTGAGCGATAACCTCCAAATACGTTTGGTGCAATTGTTAAGTAATAAACTACTGTAGTGTTCATAGATACCCTCACTTTTCTGCGCACATGCGTTAAAAGATCTTAACAGATGTCGGCTAACAAAAATTCCTCATGCATTCAGACTACTGCAATTATTAGAATAGGATTCGCTATTTATACAGATAAATGGCTGTAGTGTGAGCAGGGTATTACTTGACACAATTCAAGAGGTCAGATACTGTTGGTTACATGCCTATATGTCCCCACACCAATCCTCCCCCATATCGGTGCGGGGAGGTACTGGTGCTGGGATCTATTGGTGTGGGGTCGTATTGATGTACATAATACAAAAAATTACTAAGGGGTATTATCTGTGCGGGGGAGTAAGGGTGCGGGGGAGTAAAGGTGCAGGGGAGTATCGACATGACCCCATACTGTCATGGCCATGGTGTTCCACAAAGCACTTGATCTGTTTGGGGGGTCTCACCAGGTTACTGGTATACGTCGATGTAGCCAATCTTAGTCTGTAGTCGATCTTGGCGTTATAGAATAAGAGCACATGGTATTTATATACTACATGTATTTGAAAAATTGAGGACTGTTTTTTATTTACTCTGTCAAACTTGAGTTTACCCTAAATCTATGTAGTGAATCCACAGGATCTGTTATTCAACTATCTGAAATATTTGCCTAATACAATTTGATTGGAATAATGGTATTGTATTGGAGTATGGCCTTGATCAGGATGCGCTATTTTGAGTGCTTATGCAATAAACCTCTTGCACTTTTTTGTAAATTTATGCGCTATTAGTGCAAAAACTTGGTCCAACCTAATCCCTGTCTCGTTACACATAAATTTTGGACTCTGTCGGTGCATTGGTCTACTGTACAGTAGATGTGGCCTTCATCGCATTACACCCTTGCCCAAAATTTGCAAAATGTAATGCTTAATATCTCCCAAACTGATGGAATTATGGGAAAAGTTAGCACAGATGTCTGACAGAAAGTCATATATGGAGATTTCAAATATGCCCTTGCATTTGAACTTTGATCTTTATTTCAAGGTCAAACAGCCCAAAATTTTCTAAAAATGGGATATTTTTCAAAAAAAAAAAAAGTTATTTGAGCCGATTTTCAGAAACTATACACAGAGTTAAAGGGATATTAACTCTTCGTTTTGGCCAAAAAATGAATTTTCCTGGAGTAAACAACAATTTTCCCATAGTTACCATTGGTTAATGAATCC